CTGGAGCAAGAAAATACGGAATTGTGAAACCATATACGCACTGGTAGATCTTATAATTGTGTCCATTTTAGAAGTGATGGAAAACTTTCTAAATGCAAGAGTAATACGCTCGGATGACATGACCATAGATACATTTCTCGAATTAGTTCAAGAGAACGACATGGTAATATATATGTTGAAGAAAGGGGTGCTTAACGTAGCTGACAATAGCGATGGATTTTGGACGGAAAGTTACGTCTGGATGGGACAAAAACCACACGTTATATCACCATCCGTTACATATTTTTTACCATTTAAGGGTGTCTTATGGATCATTGTAATTGTTACACTAATTGCAGTAACCTTGACTTGGTGGCTTATTCTCCGCAAGACCGAATCTTCTAGAACTGTTACTGCTGTCTATGTTGATGTTATAAGCCTAGTTTTGGGTGTGTCCATATCAAACGAACCCCGTAGAATTGCTTTGAGGATTTTGGTTATCTTCTACCTGGTATACGTAATCCACATTCAAACAGGTTATACATCAAATTTAATCAATATCTTGGTATTGCCTAAAAACGAGGACTCAATTAACAATATCGACCAGTTGGAAAAGAGCACCATGGAAATCTACGTCCAGAGAACTGTCTACTATCAGTATTTTGGTGATCATTTGGAAAGTTTTAAAGGAATCAGGAACAGGCTGATTGTATTGAAAGACAGTGGCTATACTCATTATTTAAGCAAGTTGAACCATACAAATTACTTCGCAATATCAAGAAGGTCACAAGTCCAAACGCCCAAACAATATCCATCCGTTACAGCAAGCTATTTAAAAGGAAAAGCGCCCAATTTTTTTGTGGATGACTCTCCAGGTCTAGATCATCAATACTGCTTTATCATGACCAAGGGTAATTACTTTCTTCCCAGCTTAAATCGAATCATATCTTATTTGTATGAATCTGGTTGTCATAGTTGGCTTACCCAGAAAGTTGATTATACCTACATCGTACACCCTGGGGCACCGGCATCTGACTCGCACTACGGTGTAGCTCCAGACCTCGACCACGATTTCGAAACAGGATTGACGCTTACTCAAGTTAGCGGTGCTTTTTTCATTCTAGCTCTTGGATATGTAAGTTCAATTGCAGCTTTTCTTATGGAGTAGGTACATTATTTATCGTGTCTCGTAATTGTGCTGTAAATAGTATACTTGCCTAGTTTAAATTTTACGAACTTTCTGACGTAGACGTGCTGCAATTCTTTAATCTAATAAAATATAGATGTGTAATGAATTTTCAAACAGTCTTGAAACACATTATACAGGGTGTCTAAATAAATAATAGGATAACATGGCTATCTTTGTTATTATTACAGATTCGGTTAAAATGACAAAAGTTGGGCCCAGTCTACGATCCCGCATAATACAGTGAGGAGTAAAAAATACCGTATGGAGGCAGTTTACCAAATTTTGCGAGCATCGTCAATATGACCTAAATGAATCAACACCGTTCACAAAACTGAATACTTTAAAGGATTGGGCCTGGAACATGAAAAAAGAAAATGGGGAAGATTATAAAGAAGATATACTGTAAAATGTATATGTGGAATTCTACAACAAAAATTGTTCAAGCATTGTATTACAAAAAGTGTAGCCAGTCTTGGACTCTAAGCTCACAGGCTGTGAGTTCGAATCCCACAACTTGCCAGTTTTTAGTGGTACAGAACATCTGACTACCATGCTTCGGAGGGCATGTAAAGCTGGCGGTCCCGGCGGTCATACCATGACTGTCGTTAAGTCGCACAGACGGCTGTTGAAGCGACCTGAAGACATCTGTACCTAGGGATTACAAAAAGTTAACATAAAAATAGATCCATTTCAAGCGTGTGAATTCAAAAATTCGCGAGGCGCACGTAATGCCAAGAGACGGGAACGGGAAATCATATCAAATTGTTTCATTTTGTGAATATGCCTCTCTGATATAAATAATTGGATTCAAGAAATAATCTTCATAAATATAACACGACCTTGATTAATAGCGACTATTTTGATTGCGGCTAAATTTCTCTTGTATTTATTAATTTGACTCGACATACTTTTGACGTTAATAATCAAAGATGAAAGCCCTCGAGCTTCGCTCTCGAGCTTATTTACGCCAAAATTAATATGTCTCGTTAAATTATTATAAAATACAATCGAAATTTAGATGCAATCAATATAGTCGACTATTTATCAAGGTATTGTTATAACGGGCGATCAAAAATGAGTTGCTGTCGAGTAGCCTTTGGAAGTTCAAGTTAAATACGATTTTCCATGTACCTAAACAAAAATTTCAAAGGCGACTCGACAGCAAATCATTTTTGATCGCTTAGTATTACCCTTGATAATTGGAAAAAAAGTGAAAATCGACATTTTTTAAAAGTTGAAATATTTTAGTAACAAAGAGAGCTATCGAAAAAAGTTTCAAATAAAAGTTGCAAGATTGGATGGGATAAATTCAATTTTTTTTAATGTCAGTTTTCGAGATATTGACAACTTCCTTATTTTAAATGGACGCCATATTAGTTTTTTAAGTCACTCGATAGAGCAGAAAATTACAAAACGAGTGATACTAAACACTTAGTATTTCATTTGGGAATCAACCTCGCATTTTTGCCTTGAAGTTTACAATGTATTTCTTATGGTAATAATTTTTGTAATTTTGTAATTTTTGTTTATATGGTAAATCGTACTTAAGTTGAATTTCCAAAGGCGACTCGACCGCCATTCATGTTTGATAGCCCATTATACAGGGTGGTGACTTGCGTAACGCATCATAGGGATTTCAATGTAAAATTCATAACATGCAAAGCTGCGGGAGTCCGACTCTGGCAACCCGCTCCGGACGATTAGTGCGCCGAAGCGACCGTTACTGGAACTACGACACGAGCATGTTTTAGAGAAGAGGATGGCGAGTTTGACTTTTTTCGTGTTAAAATGATTGTTCAGTTTTCTTGATATTATTGTAAATTTATTGTTCTTATTAAAAATATTCAAAATCGCAGTCGCCTAAAGTTTCAGAAGTGGGATTCGAACCCACGCCCACGAATTGGCTCCCCAAATTATTTTAGAGCAAAAATGTATTAAGGTTTTTTGTAGAAAAATTTTTTTTACATCAATCGACCGTATTAGTTTTCAAGTTTTTGCATAATAAAGACGGAAAATAATCTTTTTCTATAATCTGTGATGCCATGGAATTTTATAATACAAAAACTACGCCAATATCCGCCATGCCATGGAATGTCTGCTATAAAACAAATCACATTCTATCAAAAAGTATTATATTTAGAACAGCGAATTCGACATAAAGAAAAACAAAGTTACTAAAAACGGTTTCCTAATATAACAATTTACAATAAATGTTCGAATAAGTCACCATTAACTGCAAGACAGTAACCAAGTCGATCATAAAATCCATTTCGAACTGCTGCTAATTGATACCTAACTGGATATCTTTTTGTTTTAGAAAATTCCATGGCATCGCAGATTATTGAAAAAGATGCGGGTTTTATTTTTCCAATTTTCCGTCTTTATTATGAAAAAAATTGAATACTAATACCCGATGGGCGTAAAAAAAATTTTTCTACAAAAAACTTTAATACATTTTTGCTCCAAAATAATTTGGGGAGCCAATAATCGCATGTTATGAATTTTACATTGAAATCCCTATGATGCGTTACGCAAGTCACCACCCTGTATATTGAATTGCGTATTTAATCGACTTCAATCAAACCGATTTCCAATTTCAGATTTTGAAAGGAGATAACAGGACACACTTCTTTAAATGCAAGTGAGGTCTTCGACCCTTGCCATTACATTTGGTTATTGCGTTGGACGAAAGGTTGTCTAAAAGTGGGTACACCTTCTTGTCCCATGGAGGTATGGGATAAGAAATATTAAAATTAGCAAAATTAAGTTAATAGCAAAAGTATTTTGGCAATAAGCATCTATCGAGTCCAGAAAAATCACAGATTGCAAAATTTTGTAAAGCATTTCCAATATATTTCTGATAGGTCAAATCAAAGATTTTTGGAAATTTCTAACACACCTGCAAATTTCTATAATGATTAGAAGAATATATCATGGTTAAACTGTAAGCAGAATTTTAAACTGGAAACAAAGAAATTCTTTACTTAGCCGTTTATCGGTAACAAGAACTGAAACAAAACCACAAGCCTTTAAAGATATTAGTATTCCAAGAATTCAAGATAATTAAAAAAAATACAATTTCAAAAAATTCCAAAAAGGTATCCTGAAGGATTTTCAGGGACCTGTAAAAAATTGGCAAAGAATTCAAAAAAAAAAATTCCAAAGATATGTAAAGAAGATTCCAAGAAGCTTTCGAAAGTTACCACCAATTAATACATTTGCATGTGATTTTCGATATCAGTCACTGGCGATTGTAGTATGTTGAGGGCCAAGTATAGTATTATAGTAGAATTGATTTTTATTAATGAAAGCATAGAGCGTATTTAAAAAAGATAAAGACCATTAATGAAAAAGCTGAATTGAAATCCGCCCGAAATATTATGGTTTTCTTACAAGTTCATCAAAATTATTGTTTTAATATGTGGTCCAAGATTTCTTAGAAAAACCACCATTTTCCTAAAATACAAGTTTGGTATTTGAAGATCATGTTGAAGACAATGCGGCGTTTGCCAGAAATGTTTAGTAGGTAACATCCTGTACATACAAAATAATAATCTACGAGGTAACAATTAAATTGCTACACGCAAAAGCGCGAAATCCTGTTCGAGTAAAATAAAGCCACCGTAAAAATTATAGGAAGTGCCCTTTATTTTACTTAACAATGACTTTTCCTGCGTCCATTTATTGGATTCTTTGTCCAGTTTATCGATCGATGAATTAAATCAACATGTATGTGCTCAATGTGGTCGGATTTCGATTACCTACTTAATTAATAATTGCGAGCAAAGTCTTTTTAAATCGCAACAGAATTATTTCGAAAACAGTACTGCTTCGCAGTTTGTTGAGTGAAATACCCAAAATGGATCTGCGCTTGGCCATATCAAGTGCGGCCATTATTTTATGTTTCATTTGCAGGTAAGCCATTTTTCAATTTTAGGTTCTTCGAAAAACAGTGGGAAAGCAAATAGGGGAAAGTCAACTTCCCACTGCCTTCGACCTGGTTCAACTCCACTTTTCCAGAAATGATTGGGCAACTTTTATGTAAATGTTGTCCTAAATTTCCTATGGATCCCACGTTCCTGTTCGTAAGTGATGAAGTCCTTGGAATATTATTTTTAGTACTAGGGATCTCGAATATTTTTCAATATCCATTTCATCCCGTCGACGTGCACCCTTCACATTCAAAGTCTAACTTTTTGGGCCGTTTGAAGAAGACAGTTTCAGTTGAAATTTTTCAGATATCAATTCCGCCATACAAAATTTGATAGTGTTAAGCATCCCTTTTTACAAAATAAGCCCCTATAAAGTACATTGTTGCAGTGTTGAATCTTCTCTTTGATGTTTTCCCAATTTTTCTATCTTCAGCAGGAATGGATTCGATTTCATTCAACGTTCAAATGACTCGATTTCTATTTTAGCCCCTTTTTTTTTAAGAAAATAGACAAACCAAATGTCGACTGACAATTTTTTATCAACACTCAAAATAGATCTGTATGATTTAAGGGTAAAAGGGCCAAAACGAGTATGACTTAACTCTATCTCTTTTTTTTAATTTCAGCCCCCAAGAAGCAGACGGACATAATACTTTATCGCACGCCAAAAGTAAGTTCCTTTTTGTAACGAATTCATAAGTAGGTCACAAGAACGGAAGAAATGCGGTAAAAACCCTGCATTTTGTAATAACAATAGTCATTGAATTTCGCGATAAGAACCTTATTTGGACAGGAAACTGGAACAATTGGCATGTCCGGTTTCTTGTTGAGTGTATCAGGCTGCCCTACCCAAACAATAGATTGCCGATTTAAAGGTCTACTCTTCTAGGATCTCGGTCTGTTCGCGAAATAAACGAATTGGACTATGAGGACTACGAGACTGAGAGCGAGGAGAAGCCTGCGGTCGCTCCACATCCAGGCATGTGCTTCATGTGGAGTGACTCGCATGTGAAAACCTTCGACGGCGAAATCTTCAGGTGACCACGACATAGGTAACGCGCCCAAATGCTCACTTTGAGTTTCAGCTTCAAGTCACCATGCGCTTTTACGTTAATAAGCGACAACGTCGACAACACGTTCAGTATTAACGTAGAAGAGGCCGCGGAATGCGCCGAGGGACCAGACCACTGCTACAAAGTCATTAAGATATACCTGCAGAATAGGGAGTACATTTTGAGTCGTACATGTGCGTCTTCATCGTCACGCGCCCTTCTACCTGTTACACCAATATGTTCCAGATGACGGACTTCCCGTTCTTACCAACAATGGAAAGAGCCTTCCCATTCCAAGCCGACTACCTGGTCTCATCACCGACATATCAGCCCATTACATTATCGCCAGCATCGACGTTCTGGGTCTGCGATTGAGATGGGACACCCAATCATTTATCCAGGTGGACGTCGGCGAGCGGTTGTGGAACAAGACGTCGGGACTCTGCGGCTTGTACGACGGTGACGAGTACAATGACTTGATCGGTAGAAATGGACTGTTCTTCAAGAATATCGCGACGTTGGTTAAGAGCTGGCAGGCGGATCCCGTTGGAGGTAGGTAGTTTCCGTTATCGCTGAGCTTTCTTTGATTTTATTTTGTAGTCACCTGCGAGGACCAACCGGAACAAGAGGATTTGTGTACAAGGGCCACGTTAAAATCATCCGCCCAGAACTTTTGCACGCAGATACTGAATGACAAACGGTTCGAAGCTTGTAGAAAGGTAAGATTGAATTTACAATTGTCAATTCTATTGTTACTTTATATTTTGTTTATACTTATTTAAACTAACCACTCTTACGAAAGATCTTCTACCAAAAGTCACAATCAGATTATATAATAATACTAAAATAAATCGTTTATTGGGACTAACATGGAATAAGGTACAAGTCCTTCCAGTTTTCCCCAGGGCGTTAAGGTTCAGATTGGTCAAAAATATTAACCGTCTGCCCCATCTCTACGGAACGTGACCGTTTCGTATTTTTCTATGCACGGCTTGTACTGTCATATTACACTACCCCCTTCTTAAGACCGTCGCGAAAAATTCACACATAGCGACTGCTTTGGTAGATCGCCAGTTCATGAAGAAATAGTCAGTAGTCATACAAACTCGTCAGGTTTGCTGTCGATTCTTCGATTTTTCGGCTGTTTCTTTAATGTAATCCTCTAATTTTAATATTTATATCTGTTTTGGGGCCGGAGCTCGACTTACCAGAAACATTCGATTATAACGTTCGCTATATGGTTAAAACGCTTTCATTTTATTACAGTTTTATTATCGTTTTTAATGTTCATGTTTCAAATTTTGTTCAAGAAACTTTCCTGAAGTTTTTTAAAATGCAAGATCATTTTTACTTTTTTTGCAAAATCATTTAGAATTATATTCAAAAACTTTTTTGAAATAAATTTTCTTCTCTTCCTTTTTATTTGAATTTCTCGGGAATCCGCCTGTGAACCATTTAGCGATCTTGGAATTACTCAAAAATTCTTTTTGCAATTTATTGAAACATTTTTAATTTGATTTTCTTGGAATCTTTCGAAATCTTATAATTTTCTTTATTTTTTATTTTGCCGTGGTCGCTAGAGCCAAAAGAATAGCTGGATTTTTTTGGAAATTTTTTGGTTTTGTCGTAAAATCGAATTAAATTAATTTAAAATTGGATAAGCAGTATCTATAGGCTTAAGATTCATGTTCTCTCTTTATTGGCGTGTTCGAGATCCAATGAATCTATAACCTATCACGTATTGTCAGCATTTCTTTTCAATAGCACTTTCCAGTTAACGGTAGCTCAAGAAAGGCGGATGAAAAGACATATTTTGTCGTACAGAAACTTTTCTTTAGCAAGTACCTACCTCTAGAACCTGTCTCAAATTTTCTTAAGAATTCACTGAAATCTTTCTGGAATTTTCTAGGTACCTACTTGTAATAGTGTTATTACTCAAAATTTTTGGAAATTTCTTTACATCTCAATCGAATTTTTTGGATTCATCTTATAAATTTAGAATATAGAAAAAGAATTAGAGTTCTCTGAAAATTGTCCCTGTCCCTTTTTTTAATTTTTTTGAAATTGTAGTGAATTTCTATGGGTACTTTTATCAGGGCCATTTGAACTTATTCTTGGAATTTCTTAAATTCCTCCAATGTTTTGCTAAATTTTTTAATTTATGTATTGAAAATCTTATCAGAAACTCAAACAAAGACACCAAGGCCCTACAATAAAACTTTAACTAGGATTTCTTGGTGTTTTTGTTTTTATTACTTTAAAGGTAACAAACCTTCCTATGTTTCCAGTTGAAAATCTTAAGATTCAAAGGGCATTTTTAAAATGATTCTTCGACTGTGTTTATCTTTGAACTCTCTAGACCAAAATCTATTAGAATTGATGATGACCGTTTTGGGTTCGAAACGCGTTCATTTCTTTTGGTGTTTTTATTACTGTTCTTGAAAGCACTGGAACTATTTGTGGCTGTTGTACTTGCAAAAATAAAACAAAAAGAACATAATTATAAATATACAGTGATTTTTTTTTAAACTGGCGATAGGATTTTCCATGCTAATTTTTTAACCCCCTGTTTACTTTTGCCGTCGGGAAAAATTCAGCCCAGTTTTGTCGGAGCTGACAAGTATTGAAATCATTCCAATTTAATATCCACAAGTAAGGAAAAACCTAGCAGAAAGATGTTTTCTAATTCCGTTTGCTTTAATTTTATATTGGTGGTAGATTAAAATCTGTCATTTGTAATTTTGATCCAAAATTTGTAAGGATTCAACAAACTTTCACAAGGAAAGGAAGTTATTTTGATTCCAAAATTTCGCCTTGTACAGAGTATTACTCCACAAAATGAAGTAAATAACTAGAAAACGTGAATATTGAATAAAATAATAGCGCTAGGCTAATTTTCACAAAAAATAAAAGATAACAGGGGGTTGAAAAATTAACATGTAAAATCCCATGGCCAGTTTTAAAAAAACTCACTGTATAATAAATCATATAACTTAAGCGAACGCTGTCCGTGTCGCGGAGTGGTGTCACGGGTAGGATATACTTCACGTTATACATAGCACGCACGCTGGATGTAGCATAATTTCTGCCAGTGGTAAACTGCGCTCTACAATACGTTACGGGGCATTACAATGAAACATTTTTTTTTGTGTATCTATACTAGCCAGCGGCCAGCAGCGTAGTCGCTGGCATTTCTAGTAGATAGGTAATTACAGTCAGAGCTGGACAATATTCGATTTTGTAAATACTTTTTAGTATTCAAATCCTTTAAAGTATTCAAATACTTTGTAATTAAATACTTTTATGGAAGCAGTATTTGTATTTGTAACTGAAATACTTTCACAAATATTTAGTATTCGAATACTTCGCAAAGTATTTGGATACTTCGTAAAGTATTCGAATACTTCGCAAGGTATTTGAATACTTAACCTTCTTTTTTTACCAAAAATCGACTACACCAAAATTTCTCGGGAAAACACTTTTTCTTATTAATTTTGGTGCGTAGAATCCAGATGATTCGTACTTTTTCGATTAGACTTCTCAATCAAAAGTTAATAAGAAAATTTTTGGCCGGGTCGATTTGAGGCAATTTTTTTTTCGGGCCTCAAAAAAAGGCAGTGTATAACCTTCCTTTTTTCCCAAAAATCGACTGCACCAAAATTTCTCGGGAAAACACTTTTTCTTATTAATTTTGGTGCGTAGAATCCAAAACAATTCGTACTTTTTCGATCAGACTTCTCAATCAAAAGTTATAGACTAGAAACCAATTTCGAAAGAAAATTCAAAGGGCTGTAACTTTTGAACTAGTAGCCCAATCTTGGAACTGTTTGAAATTATGGATTCTACAGGCCACATTCTGTAAGAAAATCTTTTTTCCCGGTCGATCTGAGAAAATTTTTTCTTCGTGCCTCAAAAAAAGGCAGTGTACAACCTTCCTTTTTTTTAACCAAAAATCGACTGCACCAAAATTTCTCGGGAAAACACTTTTTCTTATTAATTTTGGTGCGTAGAATCCAAAACAATTCGTACTTTTTTCGATCAGACTTCTCAATCAAAAGTTATAGACTAGAAACCAATTTCGAAAGAAAATTCAAAGGGCTGTAACTTTTGAACTAGTAGCCCAATCTTGGAACTGTTTGAAATTATGGATTTACAGGCCACATTCTATAAGAAAATTTTTTTCCGGGTCGATCTGAGGCAATTTTTTCTTCGCCCCTCAAAAAAAGGCAGTGTACAACCTTCCTTTTTTACCAAAAACCAAAATTTCCCGGGAAAACACTTTTTCTTATTAACTTTGGTGCGTAGACTACCTATTGGTATTTTTGTTTTATTTTTACATGTTACTGTTCTTGTTCAGGAAACCATTCTAGCGATTCTTTAAAGATTATTGGGGATCATATTCTACATCTTACTCTTGAACCCCTTTGCGAAGTCGTTTGAAATTAAATGTATCTTAAAAAACGTCTTGGGAATCTAATTTTGATAATTCTTCGGATTTACCAGGTTATATTTCACGTTATTTTTTGCGATCTTATGGAATCTTAAGATAATTTAGGAAATTTCCAGGTTTTTATTTTATAAAATTTCCTGGGAGTAGTATAGTAAGGGCGATCCTGGCACACTTTGATCTTGATTTCAAGTTCAAAGTTGAACTACCGCGCACCCACCAAGCGAATGTCACTGTACGTCATCGTTGTTGTTGTCAAAACTAATGTCACTCAAGGTCATCGTGTGTTTGCTGTCAAAACTAACTAGGGTTCTTGCCTGAACTAAGGTCACCGAATGTCATCGTGGTTGTTGTCTAAACTATAACCCACTGAAGGTCACGTGATTCTTTCCTGAACTCAAACAATTTTATTGATTGCGATTTCGGGGACTGAGATATTAATTGTCGGGTCGAGCATGAGCCATCCTTGAGATCTGCGCCTAGGCATATTTTTTTATTGATTGGTTATCGATGGGCATGCTCCAAGGTCACTAAGATATTGATTATCGATTTGGAGGATGCACATAGTCAGTAAAAGCATTGTCACTAAAGGTCAAACGAAGAGGAAATTCTGGCAATCATAGCTAACTCTGCAATTCCCATATGCGCATTGATGGTCAAGATGGTATTGTTCTCTCTAAGAAAATAGATAATAAAATGACATGCATCCCTACCTTGTCCGTCGTCTCCTATCGCCCCGAATTTCCACGTGTCCCCCAAAAAAGAAAAAAAAGGGAGCCGTTCTTTTTTTTATTCAAGAAAAATTACAGTACCCTACATATAGCGTTCTCTGAAACTGATAGCTTTCCTATGGTACAAATCGGTACGGCCCATCTCGGGAAGACTGGCCTTGAAGGACAGAACAAATTTAAATTATGCAAACGATCACTCTAATTTTATTTATTTTGCCTTTCTTTTTGAGTGGGCGGGGTTTCAGCCAAGGCTGCTCTACCAACCCAACCCACTATACATTTACAAATATCCATGCCCGAACCCGGATTCGAACCAGGGACCCTAGCACCACAGTCCAGCTTTATTCATTTGTCGGACGCCGGTAATCCTTTAGACAGTTCTAGATACGAAATTTTAATCCACGCTGGTTTTAACGAACAAGTTTCCCTTTTACTTTCAACATATAACTCGTATGATTAAGTTGACCGGTAATGAATTTTCGTGCACGTTTTATGGCGGTTTATAATTGTTTAACACCTATAAATTCTCCTGAACTTGCTTGCGTATTCTTGACTTAAAAGCCAGATCGGACCGTAATTAATCCATTTCCGGTACATCACTCGTAGTCCTCGTAGTTCAAAACCGAATACCCTACCGGTATTCCTTTTGGACTAATCCCTACTCCTCTTTTGAATTTTTGCCATGCCCCAAAATGGTGCTAATTTGTTAATGCCACCATCGGAAATTAATTTATAGCAGCTTAAGTGCGCCACCACTGTTTATAATAATAATCCTTATTGTCCATACAGCAATAACGCCAACATTGAATAACTTCAAAATGTTCAAAGAAACAGAAAAAAAACGTTGAAGTGCAATTAATTAAAACTAAAATTGTAGAATTCAGTGACAAAGAATATGTTAATTAGATATAAATCTAAAGAGCCGGTATATAAAGTGAACGAAAATGCAACGACTATTGTGTATAAACTAAAACAAAAAATATTATCTCAAACTAAGATAAGAAGATATTTAGCGTTTTTAATGTACATGTTTATATCACTCGTTTACGCAAGACTTTAGCAAAGACTAGGTCACGAATCAGTTTATTTTGCATCCGGCAGTGTTCGCGAGTGTCCGATTTTCTATACAGTTCCTCTGACTCGATGTTTAATTAATAGTTAAAAGCAGATAGATCTTACATTAACGAACAATCGTTTTTTAGGCCATAGATCACCGACTACTGATGAAAGCTTGCATGTGGGACTACTGCGCGTGTACCGATTCGAATCCCGAGAACTGCGCATGCGATACGTTGGACGTGCTCGCCCGAGTGTGTCAGCACGAGCGGTTGGTTCCCTCGCTCAATTGGAGAACCGAAAGTTCTTGCCGTAAGTCGCACGTTCACCGCTCGCATCGCATCTTACACTGTCATTTTAGCGTTCAAGTGTACCGGCGGAAAGGTCTACATGCCCTGCGGACCCAGCGGTGGCCAAATCGTCTGCGGGGGTCTTTCGGAGAAATTGACCACTGGTGTGTGCGAGGAAGGATGTTATTGTCCCGAAGGAACCGCCTATCACAATTCGAGGTGTATACCAGTGGACAAGTGCCCCTGTATGAACGCGGGGAAGGATTTTACAACTGGCAGTACAGTACAGAGTGACTGCAACACATGCACGTGTAACAGCGGGAAGTGGGCTTGCACAGATGTAAGTTACGCACCCATGAGATAACCCATGAATCAAAGGTATTTCTAGAAAATTTGCAACGCCCGTTGCTCAATTTTGGGAGATCCCCATTACATGACATTTGATGGATCCCGATACGACTTCAGAGGGCAGTGCTCTTATATGCTAGTTCAACATTCCAATTTTACCATCGAAGCCAAAAATTCGTTCCATGGCAACCGAGAGGTAACCACTCTCTTCGCCTCAAGTACTTACATTAATTCTCTTACACTTTAGACTCAACTGGATCTTTTCATGACAAGTGCTTTTGTAAAATCGCTAGTAATCAACATTCACGGACACTCTATAAAGCTTAGACACGATCAGGAGATAAGCGTAGATGGAGAGGATATCGCCAAGTTCCCGGTCGACTTAAATGGCTTTGGCGTGGTGATCAGACGGGCTTCTTCCGAATTTTTCGTCGGTAAGTTACACCTCTTAGCCACACCGTCACTCTTACGTTTGCTTAGTGGAACTACCCAACGAGGTCTACATCTTCTGGAACGGACCCACCAGCACCGCATATATTGACGTCCCTCCAACTTTCTTCGGAGAAACTAAGGTGTGTACTGAAAGACTAGTTCGGCCAGAATCAAAATGGGATGTTTCAGGGTCTGTGTGGTACTTACAACCAGAATCAACGGGATGACTTTTTGACACCGGACGGAGATGTGGAGCACAACGTCATACCGTTCGCCAACAAGTGGAAGATGAACGAAAAGTGCGAAGACGTCGTCGAGAAGGTAGAAACGGATCCTTGCTCCCTCAATATGCAATACGCCCAAGCCGCCCAAGAATATTGCCAAATGATTAAGTCGGCAATATTTCGAGATTGCGTCTGGTTGGTGGATCCGGAGACCTACTACAAGAACTGCATGTTCGACGTCTGCGCGTGCGCCGACGGAAACGTAAGTACAAACAGCACGCACAAGGCTCGGCTAACTTTAACCTGCAGCTACACTCCTGCATCTGCCCTACGATCTCGGGTTACGCGACCGCCTGCGCTCACAAGGGAGTCGCCGTGAGTTGGCGGGATATCGTTCCGCATTGCGGCTTAAATTGCACGACCGGATTGGTATACCATCCCTGCGCGAACTCGTGCGAAAGGACCTGCGCCGACATACATACGGAATCGAATTGTAACGCCAAGTGTATCGAAGGGTGCGGTTGTCCTGACGGTAAGGTGTTGGATTCGGAAGGTATCTGCGTGGAGAAGACGAAGTGCGGGTGCAAAGAGAATGGGGTCGTGTTCGAAGATCAGTACAAGGAAATTCGCGAGGACGAAGGAGTACTCACTTTGTGGTAAGGAATGGTCTCTCACACTGTTTCTTCCACGAATTTAAATCCACGTAACTCGAAACAATAATCTCATTCTAAAAAGCACCCAGTTTCCAAGATTTTACGAAATGATGCGTGGTCGTGTGACAACTTAAAATTTACATATCTTACTTAGTTAGACGACTTTCGTTATTTAATATTGAACTGAAAAATAGAAAAACTGGACCAACTTCTCATAACCGAGTCCCTAACCTGTTTATCCTCCAGGATGTCCGATTTTTCTACACCTTTATAAGGTAGCTTGGTAATTGTTAGTACTTCAAAAAACTAATATAGGCTTCGTGTGATTTTTGGGTCGAACTTAAAATGGTAAAATCAAAATTTGAAATTATTCGTTTAAGAGATACGGAGCAAAATAGAAAAAAATGTCAATTTCAGGCTATATTTTATTGGTTACGAGAGATATAGAAAAACGTTTTAAACAAAACTTTCTTATACTGATTGCTGAATAATCTGCCGTTTTCATAATAGTCCAGGCAATAGAGAACATATGAGGACCTTCGCTTGCAAAATTAATGGTACATCTGGAAATAAGCATACTTTATGTTTTTTGTCTACTTTCCGAATTTCCATTGTGTATTTCAGGAAATACACAAAATAACAGTTTTTTTTCTAAAAAAAAAACAACGATATTTCTTCTTTTTTTAAAAATTTGGGGTGGGGGGAGATTACGGGGGGCATTTTTGCTGGGAAGTTGAAAATTCGGACTCATCGACACGAAAAACATAAAACAAACCTATGTCCAGAACAACCATGAATTTTGCATCCCCAAATTATATATTTCCTGGATTATAATACGCATATGAAATCAGGAAAAAAGTAACCTTTTTTAAATAAAACCCTCTCTAGACTTTAATTTAAAAAGATAGTATACTAAACTCTCTTTTCAAAAATATCACAAAATAATTTACAAAAATTCAAAAAACATTTAAAAAGATACGGAGCAAAATATAAAAAATTGTTAATTTCAGAATAACGGTATATTTTCTTGGTTACGAGAGATACAGAAAAACGTTTTAAACAAAGCTTTCTTATACTGATTGCTGAATAATCTACCATTTTTATAATAGTCCAGACCAGTGTTTCTCAAACTTTTTGGCCTGGCGGCACACTAAAATTATTAAACAAAATTCGCGGCACCCCTAGTATTATTATTTTTTTGCTTTTTTACAGTTGGTAAAGAGATGAAGGATGAGAAGTCTTTACAAAAAAATTTCTCAACACAAAAGCATTTGAAACGAGTTGTCAGGTAAACTCCTGACTTGACTTTTCGACTACTTTTAATAGTCATTGCAATTATCTTTGGCCAACATTTGGAAAATGCTCTCTAGCGCCTTTATTTTGAACCCGACGCAAAATGTGTAGAAGCCTTTTTTGTAGACTTCATCAAGGCACATCTTTTTTGTAATTGGCATTTTTCACTCTGATGCTTACTTTTAGAGAAAAATGAAATTTAGAAAAATAAATAGTTTAACTCTTCAATTTAAAACTGCTTAAAAACAAAGGAACTCACAAAAAAATTGTAAAGAACTTTTTTGTAGAGTTTTTAAGCTATTTTGGCCAGTGTATGGGAAAAAAATTTTTCAAGCCGTTATGACTCTTTTATAATTTTGACACCCTCAACAACCTTGAAGATGGTTACGGATCAAAACCAAAATAGGACGTTTTCTATTCCCCATACCACCCTATATGCACCCCAAATATAATTTATAAGATTGAGAAAGTCTGATGTAATGCAATACCAGCATATGATTGATTAATAAATTATGAACCATAGAAATAAATAAAATAGAAACTAAAAAACAGAAATGTAATAAAAAAACGAATATTCATTTTTTATAATTATTTTAATTCTTTTTTTATGAAGTTCAGCGGCACCCACTTTGAGAACCAGTGGTCCAGACAATAGGGAACATAATGAGGACCTTATTAATCGTAGTTAAATAAGCATAATTTATGTTTTTTGTCTACTTTCCGAATTTCCATTGTGTTTTCTAAAAAACGATATTTCTTTCAAAATTTGGGGGGTGCAGGGGGAATTTTTGGTGGGAAGTTGAAAATTCGGATTCGTCGACACGAAAAACATAACACAAGCCCATGTCCATGAATTTTGCATCCCAAAATTATATATTTCTTGGATTCTAATACGTATATGAAATCAGGAAAAAAGTGACTCTTTTTAAATAAAACACTCTCTAGATTTTAATTTAAAAAGATAGTATACTAAACTCTTTTTTCAAAAATATCACGAAAAAAATACAATAATTCAAAAAACATTTAAAAAAATACAACAATCTTTCGTTTGTTAAAACCAGGGTAACTTTTGATCTAGCAGCCCAATCTTGGAACTGTTTGAAATTATGGAATCTACAGCCCATATTCTATAAGAAAATGTGTTTCCGGTCGATCTCGGGAAAACACTTTTTCTTATTAATTTTGCTGCGTAGAATCCAAAACGATTCGTACTTTTTCGATTAGACTTCTCAATCAAAAGTTATGGACTAAAAACCAATTTCGAAAGAAAATTCAAAAAAAGGGCTGTAACTTTTGATCTAGTAGCCCAATCTTGGAACTGTTTGAAATTATGGATTCTACAGGCCACATTCTATAAGAAAATTTTTTTCCGGGTCGATCTGAGACAATTTTATTTTCGGGGCTCAATAAAAGGCAGTGTATAACCTTCCTTTTTTACCAAAAATCGACTACACCAAAATTTCTCGGGAAAACACTTTTTCTTATTAATTTTGCTGCGTAGAATCCAAAACGATTCGTACTTATTCGATTAGACTTCTCAATCAAAAGTTATGGACTAAAAACCAATTTCGAAAGAAAATTCAAAGGGCTGTAACTTTTGATCTAGTAGCCCAATCTAGGAACTGTTTGAAATTATGGAATCTACAGGCCACATTCTATAAGAAAATGTTTTTTTCCGGTCGATCTGAGACAATTTCTTTTGGGGGCCTCAAAAAAAGGCAGTGTACAACCTTCCTTTTTTACCAAAAATCGACTACACCAAAATTTCTCGGGAAAACACTTTTTCTTATTAATTTTGGTGCGTAGAATCCAAAACAATTCGTACTTTTTCGATCAGACTTCTCAATCAAAAGTTATAGACTAGAAACCAATTTCGAAAGAAAATTCAAAGGGCTGTAACTTTTGAACTAGTAGCCCAATCTTGGAACTGTTTGAAATTATGGATTCTACAGGCCACATTCTATAAGAAAATGTTTTTTTCCGGTCGATCTGAGACAATTTCTTTTGGGGGCCTCAAAAAAAGGCAGTGTACAACCTTCCTTTTTTACCAAAAATCGACTACACCAAAATTTCTCGGAAAAACACTTTTTCTTATTAATTTTGGTGCGTAGAATCCAAAACAATTCGTACTTTTTCGATCAGACTTCTCAATCAAAAGTTATAGACTAGAAACCAATTTCGAAAGAAAATTCAAAGGGCTGTAACTTTTGAACTAGTAGCCCAATCTTGGAACTGTTTGAAATTATGGATTCTACAGGCCACATTCTATAAGAAAATTTTTTTCCGGGTCGATCTGAGACAATTTTTTTTTCGGGCCTCAAAAAAAGGCAGTGTATAACCTTCCTTTTTTACCAAAAATCGACTACACCAAAATTTCTCGGGAAAACACTTTTTCTTATTAATTTTGGTGCGTAGAATCCAAAACAATTCGTACTTTTTCGATTAGACTTCTCGATCAAAAGTTATAGACTAGAAACCAATTTCGAAAAAAAATTCAAAGGGCTGTAACTTTTGAACTAGTAGCCCAATCTTGGAACTGTTTGAAATTATGGATTCTACAGGCCATATTCTATAAGAAAATTTTTTTTCCGGGTCGATCTGAGACAATTTTTTTTTCGGGCTTCAAAAAAAGGCAGTGTATAACCTTCCTTTTTTGCCAAAAATCAACTGCACCAAAATTTCTCGGGAAAACACTTTTTCTTATTAATTTTGGTGCGTAGACTCCAAAATGCTTGGTTCCTGACGTCGGATTGCCCTCTTTGAGCCAACGACCCAGGCACAGCTCTGGGCTTTGGCGCAGGGTCCGCTTGACTTGGACGCTTCTATTCTTCGCGTGAATATAGGAGCTGGCCCACTCTCAGGTCCTTGAATAAGGCTCGGCATTGGAGTTCGTTGCCGGACACCTTTTGAGGGCCGAGGGCCCTGCTTGTTGGTCGCACTCCTGACGAGGAGCGCAGAAAGGGTTTGGATTATCTTCCATACAATTCCTACGCGAGTAGCGCAGAAATGCGGTCTCATCATGGGTTTACCCAGGGTTTGGCTGACAACCCCTTTACTAAGGAAAGGGGTCACCCGAGAGGTCGCCCGTTATCCGAGAGGCAACGTTATCGACAGTGTCGCTGACACTTGGACACTACCAGTGTGGGTTTTGGGCCCGACGAGCCACTTATAAGTAGGTATTGGTCACTACCCACACCGGAGTGGGGGGGGGGGCAATGGGTGCAACTATTTAGATATACCATAAAGTTACTACTCCTATACGCATCCCAATAAAAGAAACCCAAAGACTGTATCTGGGAAACTGTAGTAATATAGAATTTCCACTTTTTTCTCCGCCTGAGCAGTTGCTAGTAGTTGCTAGAACCTAGAAGGTTGAAAGGAGGAGGGCCACTTCCTGGCATATAAGCTACCTATATCACCCACGTAGCAGATGCACAACACACTCTACAATACAGACAGATAGACAGACTAGAATTTGTTTTTGTTTGGTTTGCGCTAAAAAGGTAACTTATACTCAACACAAAATTTTGAAAGGCGATAACAATTTTTTTAATTGCTTGGTAGGCACTTTAGCATTACAGAATTCGCTATAGGTAAACTCGTGCTACAATTTTCAACCAGGGGCAGTAAAAAGGTTGACCAGGTCATAGACCATTAAGAGGGGGCAAATTATGGTTAATTAATTGAAGCATATGCCCATCGTAAGCCTTAAATAGTGCATACCTAATTTGTTTAAATTTTGGAAAGCTTTCGACTTGTTAGAAAAATACATGACGCCATACAACATATTGAGAACAGTTTTAGCTTTTATCAAAAACGCCTCGAGGTATTATTGGAAGATACGACGCTGCCGCTCCTAATAATAAAGTGCCGTCCGGGTCCGGGGCCCTGAGCCCCTCCACTTCAGTAATGAATAAACAGAGTGATAATTTTATTAATGATGTATGTAACCGAATCGTCCTAGGCCCTTAGTAGACACCGGTTTTACGAAGGCAACAGTTTTCTTTTTTTGGTGTACCCAAAGAACGCGATACTAAATTGTAAATTAGCCGGTCACGAGTCGTGGTCATACCGATCTGACATTTTTTTTAAATTCGGTCAATTGAAATTTGCAGGTGGTACGCCACTGGTACGTGCAAAATCGGCTCATCGCACAGTCACTGTCTTTGTTTTGTTATCGCTCCCACCCACCACTTCTTTTTTGCCGGCCGGTCGTCGTCGTGGTTAGTGGTATGATTTCAGTATATTGCGCCTAGCAGAGAACGTGATTTAATATAAACAAAGTGCAAGAGATCGATTTAATGATTCATTCCTGTGACAGCTCATCAGTGTGTGGTATCTTACAAGTTTCGGGCAAACAGGTGAGCATAAAGAATCTCAATTTCCACAATCAAAACAGAATTGCGCTTCAAGGATATCCCCTGTAATTAATTCTAGTGTCTTTTTTCCTGATGATGCAATACCTAATTACCCCGTGAGTCATAGCAGTATTGAATATATACAGTGCCCCCAAGCTTACGTCCCTGGAAGATAGGTATGTGAACTAATTATACAAAAATTCAAAGTAACCAATCGAAAGCGTCCAAAATGTAGTACATTCCACGATTGGTGCATTCCGTGCTATATTTAATTAGGTATAATAATGTTTTGACAGTATGTGCTTGAGGTTATTTTCGTCGTTTCTAGTTTTTGCTTTACATTTTCCATCTCCAGTTTTATACAAAACTCGTCTTTTCGAAAACGTGTACACCTTGGATTTGCGATAACATACGGTAGGTAATTTGCTTAAAGATGTTAAACCATACCTAACCTTACTTATTTTCTATAGTTGGAAATTGCGTAGAAGCCCTAAATCATGAGTTTAGACAGAAATTGTTGTTAATTCGAATGCTTGCAAGTGGTCGCAGTTGTTAAAAACCTGGTCAGAGGTACACCGTAGTTCATGGCCGTGCTCGTCGTGGTTTCGTAGAGAATGGTTTGTAAAACGAGGGATTATCGTGATGATCTGAATCATACCAAGTCAACGCAGTGGTTAGAGGAATGTATTCATGTCAAATATATGGGAAAACATGAGGTTAGTAAACGCCTGCAGTTCCGATGAAGATGATTGGTCCATTGGAGATAACGGTTCACGCACACCAGTATTGAAAGCAGTTAAGTACATTTTACATGTGTTTTTACGTTTTGTAAAACTTCAATAAATAATTTTACTGTTGTACATGGTGTAAAAAAGAATTTGTGTACCCTGCTCTTGCGATATTCCTTCAAGCCCCTTGATGTTATGCAACTTGTATGGCACACTGTCTAATTACTATAGAATCGACTTTTGTATCGGAATGTACTGCGTAAAATTGTAGCGCCTTGCCAGGGACGTGGTAAGCTTGGTGGCATGTAAAATATGCACAAAATGCGAGGGGTATTTCACTGAGCAAACTTCTGTACAGGTACTGTCAAAATTGGCAGTACTTGGTGTACTCCCCTCTCCGGCCACTAATTCTGTGTACTGCTAAGTTCTGCCCGATGTACTGCCCTGTCCTGCATGTGTACTACAAGGCCCTATTTGCATATTCCCACGACCCACGAAACAAAGGACATCTTATAGACATTTTTTAATTAATGCAACGCTAAAAGGTATTACTTATATGATTAAAGGAACATCTAATTGCCTTTGTTATTTATACAGCGTCCTACAACAGTATGTCAGTCTTTCCTAGCCCACCCCTAAAGATATAAAAAAATCTTATGTGCAAATATCAACTGTGGATGGATCTATAGAAATTATTTTCAAATGATTTTTTAAAAATAGACCACCCTGTATATGTTAATCTAAAAAGATAGCATATTAAAATTTATTTTTTAATATATAACGCAATCGCAATCAATAGGAAAAGTGATTCAAAGAAATTCAAAATGATTAAAGAATTAAAAAATTTAAGAAATGTTCATATACTTATAAAAACAAAAAATTAAAAACTCTTTTGAAATTTTTTAATTTTTTGAAAGCATTTTAAAAATTTCTTTAGTGTTATATTTTTGGAAAGCGAATTTAAATATGCTCTTTTTCGAATAATATATACAGAGCGTTCCACTAAAAAACCTTTTTACCTGTTCCCGTACACTTATTTTAAATCGGCATTATAAAGAAACTTGTAAGAAACATCTTTCTATATCTCCTTTAATAAATATAGGTTCATTCTCATATTGACAACTTGTTAATTTTCCTATGTACCTTGTAAATTGAAATATTTTAATCAAAAACTATCATATTAAAAATCTTTTTTCCAAAATATAACACTACAAAAATTCCATATTGATTCAAATAGATTCAAAAGATTTAAAAAACCGAAAGATTCAACATTTTTTTTGAAATGTATCAAATCATTTAACCTTTTTAAATCCTTTTTGAGCCCTTTTTGATTATCATCCGTAGCGTATTATATTTTTTAAAAGTTAATATGCTATATTTCTAGATTATTAAATAATACAGGACGTTCCATTTAAAAAAATAAGGTTTGCTTAACCCCGCGTGGCATGTGATTGTACTTAAAAACAGGTGGGGCCGATGTGATTGTCAGATTGTGACAACGATTGCGGAATTGCGAATCTGATTGCGGGATTGTTTTAGGCGATTGTGAGATTGCAAACGCGATTGTGGGACTGTGAGGGAGATTGCCACAGCAATCGATTGTAGACAGTTTGTGACAGTATAAGGGGAAGATGTTACCCCTCGGAAATACGAGGTTTAGACACAGGACGGTTCTTATAAAAATGGAACACAAAAGACTATCGAATAGCGAAATAACATAGTGGTAGTTCTATTTGACAAAAAAATAGTTACGGCTCATTGTGAACACCCTGTATCACTAAATCCAACTTTCTTTCTCATTATCAGCCCTGTACTCAGATTAACATTCTTGCTCAACGCTACGATTCATAAAAGTACGGCTTGCTTATGGGGAAAATATTAATAAGATGGCAACATATAATGTAACATATACAGGCTGTTCTATTTAAAAAAATCACTTTATTTACACTTTAAAAATGGGACGCCCTGTACATTTAAAAATAATTTCTCTAGTTGCACAAAAGGAGATTGTATATTTGTTACTAGGTATGAGCTGGGAAAGACAGACGTACTATTGCAGGAACCTGTATATGATATACAGAGTGGTCCAACGAGAAGTATACAGAGGGCTTTTAGGGTATTAAATTTAGAAATCTCGAAAAATCCTCGAACACGTCAATTTTGTATTTGAGGGGGACAACTTTTGGAATACAAATCACGAAACCCAAGTCTTTACCCCTCTACGTAGGGAGCTTAACCCCTAAAATTTTAAATGGAATCCTATGGCAAATGGCACATTATTTGAAAGCCAATTTAATCGTGATTAGTAATCTGCTTTGCTTTTTAAATTCTATTGATTCGTTTCGGCTAATAAAGTAAAATATAAAAAAAAAAATAAAATAAAAAAATTGGTTGTAGGTACAATGGTGGGACGTGTGTCCCAAAGACCTCCTAACATGCACATTTCTTGAGGTTACAAATCCCCCCCCCCCCATTTGACATGTTTGGGAGGGGGGGACAAATCAGGTTAACCATGCCATTGTAGACCCAATAGTCCTACTTTAACTCAGTACCGAGTTCAAAATGGGGGGGGGGTCCCATTCGGACTTCTGGAGTGGACCGTGAAGGTTAAGTTCACGAGCAATTAACCCCCTTTAGAACTTTTTTCCAAAAAAGATGATTTGATCAAGTTATTACATCGTCTCAAGATAAATTAATCACCTGGTATGTTATATACAGTGTGTCCCAGATTGAACGTACCATAGGCCAACAGAATTAATGTATTTTTTCGCGAAGGATCCACGTGCCCTCTGAAATATATTTGAAGTTGGCGTTCAACGTACGTTATTGCGCTTGCCTGATGCTAGAAAGAGATTGGAGTAGTATGACGAACGCCAATTTCAAAGGTCGAAGATGTGATGTCATCTCATATGTGTGGTTCAGTAAGTTTCTCCATTACTTTTAGGAGAAACGACGTTACGACTGATAAGTCTCGTCCAGGTTTCGGTGTGGATACGACTTTTACATCCCTCTATACCATAGATACGAATGGAGGGTTTCAGCGTGCCTCATCTTTAGGCTTTTGGCGCGTTGTCCCGGAGAGTTTTTTCGGATCTCCTGTACCAGGTGCTCCGGGAGTAGTTGACTGTTTTTGTTTTTCCCCGTGCTTCGAGCACTATTCAGTCAGGTATTCTCTCGGTTCGGTCCTCTGACCTTTGCATTTGTTATTTGCCGAGATTGTCTCCTCTTGGCCCAGGTAGCTAAGCCAAGACCCACAGCACCATCGTGAGCCCACCCCCAGGTGGTCGACATGGTTGACCTGATGAGGTATTTCTTGAACCTTGAAAAGTGGGGAAGGTATACGAGCCCAATAGTTGGCGTTGGAACGGCAAAGGCTTGTGTATTTTTAAGATTGTTTTATTGTGTTTCTGTTAAGGTACCTTGAAAGAGCCACGGAAATTTCAAAGGCAGATGCGGGGCCGCTGGTGAAATGTCTGACGGTTCGCGGTCCAACTCATCGCAACGTAAGTGAATTGGTTCCGCTTTCGAATTACAGTCTTTATGTTCGAGCAGGTGGTAGGCATGGTGGCGGTAGATGGAGGCGGGGAGGAAATAATAACCAAATGGACCAGTCCACCTTTCGGCCGTATCGTGGGGGCAGGGGAGGGCCACGACCTGCTAGCACTAATTATAGGGACCGAGATAGAAATGAGCTTGAGGAAGATACTGATGATTCGTCACGTGGTCACGACGCGGGCACCTCTCGTGCGCATCGCAGGGGAAGGGGAGGGCCACGATCCGCTAGCGCTCATTATAGGGGCCGAGATAGAAATGAGCTTGAGGAAGATTCGTCACGTGGTCACGACGCGGGCACCTCTCGTCCGCATCGTAGGGGCGGGGGAGGGCCACGTACCGAAAGCGCGAATCACAGGGACCGAGACTTTTACAGGAGACAGTTCGTAGATGATAAAATGCTAAGATTCAAAAAGTTAGAAGAGCTGAGTGGTATGGATCCGGAAGAGATAATCATCGAATTAGTTCTCAAGAGAAACGGCTTTCGGGATCTGCTCGATAGCCAAAATTTAACGGACGACACCTTAGTATTGATCATTCGAGTGCTGGTGAAAGTCTGCTCGGTTCCTTTAAAAAGCCACAAGATGGCGATCATAAATTTGGCGCTCAACGAAAACTTCCACAGGGCGCTGCAGAATTGCTTGCTTCAAATGATGTTCGCTACTGCGACGGACAAGAAGCGATCTTCCTACTTTTGGCATGACGCGCAAGGTTTCTTCGATAACGCTCGCGCGGTTTTCCAATCAATTTTCGAGACTGCCCCGACGAGAGCTTGCGAGGTGGTGACGAAGACGATCGATGTTATTAATCACACGTTGGAGAAACTGAGTGTGGTTTCGGAGGAGATTAAGGAAAATTTTCACAAATTACATGATAAGATGAAGATGTACGCAGATGAGATCGAAATAAAAAAGGCGGCGAAAGCGAGTTCGGTCGAGGAGCATTACGAGGAGCCCCCAGATAATTTCCGCGAGCTTACCGTTTATCCAACCTACAATGAAATCATGTCCGACAGCTTTGTGCGAAAAAACCTAATCGATAGACCCTACAACAGCGTGGATCACTACCTGGACGTGCAGTTTCGGTTGCTGAAAGAGGATTTCGTCGGCCCCCTAAGGGAGGGCATATCCGAGTTTCAGATGTTCAACAAACCCTTTGGTCGCTGCAAAAAGTTCTCCAACATTCGCATTCACAAGGACGTAACGTTTGTTTCGCCGTACTGCTCGAGGGACCAAGCCGGTGTTCTGCTCCAGTTCGAGCTTGTCGACCGGAAGAAGAAGAAAGAAACCAAGAATTATTCTTACAACAGACGCTTTATGTTTGGTTCGCTGGTGTGCTTTACCAGAAATAATTTTGAACATTTGCTCTTTGGAAAAATTATCGAACGAGACCAGAAACAGCTGGAAAAGGGCCAGGTTGTTGTCGGTTTTGAACCCGGATACGACAACTATGTTTTAAATGAACCGTATCTCATGGTGGAGTGCACTGTGTATTTCGAGCCTTACTACCACGTGCTGAAGGCCTTGCAAAGTACTTATGAGGACGATTTCGCCATGAAAAAATATATAATCGACGTGGATCCTAACATCGTGCGACCTCAGTATTTGTATGATACAAGCTCCTATCTCATCGATCACTTGCACGTTGATTTATTCGATGAAGAATGGCCTACGGCAACGCAGCTGAGCTTAAACGACAGCCAACACTCGGCGTTTAAGGCCGGCCTAACCCAAGAGTACGTAGTCATTCAAGGCCCTCCTGGCACCGGAAAAACATTCCTTGGTCTCAAATTGGCCAACACGTTTATTAATAACCACTCCCAATGGCACGACGATAGTCCAATGCTGGTGGTATGCTATACGAATCACGCCCTGGATCAGTTTTTGGAGGGTATCATACCGATCACAAGCAAAGTCGTACGCATCGGAGGACAGTCGAAAAGCAAAGACTTGGAAAGATTCAATCTGAAGGAGAAACGAAAAGAGGTGGCCGACCGTCTAAGGGCCCGAGGCTACGGTAAGGCCCTGTACCAGTTTCGCAACGAACTCGCCGACTACATACGCCAAATCAAGAACTGCGGCGAGCAACTGGAGCAGATCAGAAACGGCGAAGGGGTACTCGTCAATTTCGACGAGTTCGCCAAAATCGACCCGGAATACTCAACCAGCTGGTTCATTAGAGCGAAAGATCAGGAAATTACGAATTGGCTTTTTGAGCGAAAACGAATTCCGCGCGGTGAACTGCGCAAAGTAAGAGTGTTGGGTCTTATTACGTCAGTAATACAGCGGTAAAGTTGCAGGTAAACGTGAAGGATGTCGACAACGAATTGGGAGAAGCGGAAAGGGAATTCGACGAACTACAAAACAACGAAATAATCGCGAACGCCTTTAACGATCAAGACGACTTTTTGTTTTCGTTTACAGGAAATAATATAAAATATTTGCTTCGAGTAGACGAAATGCAGGCGGCGGCTAATATGCTCAGGGCGCAAATAGAATTTCTCGGAGAGGAAGATCATAATATGGTTTACAGCAAGAGGTTAGAGTTGATTGAGCAAATTATTAAATTGGAGGACGATATTGAATACGTCCAGGTAAGTAGTCACCATTTTTTTTGTAATTTGAAGAGGGATTCGTATTGTAACTTGTCTTGCGCATGCGCATTATTTAATTTCGACATGCGCCATCTTTGTTTCACAGCCTCCATTATTATAATTTCAAGGGATCGACACTGATAGTCTACTGTCTTTCGTTATGAGTGTTTTATTTCCTTTTTTTGAAACGATCTATTGTTACAATTTTAAGGAAATGGTCCCAAAAAATGAAAAAAGGCTTTCGCCGTAGGGCGAGTAACTTATGCGCATTTTGCATGAATTGATCAGTACTTCACGAATGATCAGGGACCCGGACCCAAATGAAATATCGGTTCCGGTTCTGTTTAAATTTAAGTGAAAATATTTGGTTGGTTCCAGTCCGGTTTCGGTTCTAAAAAAAAAACTGTTCGATCCTGCGCATTTTTTTTCGGTTTTAGTCTTTTCGAAAGTGTGGCATTAAAAAAATTTATATACAGGGTGAGTTTTTTTTTCATTTTAAGCATTGGGATCTCGGAAACCATAAGACATACGGATTCGGTTAAATGAGGAAAGAGTTGTCGTTTTAAGAGCTTATTTAAGATATGCTTTTGTTTTTTGAAAAAATCCACAGTTCACTAGATATGAGCGAAAAACAGATTTAGTGATTTTTCATTTAACTGTTGTAGAATCGTTAGTATTAGAAATACAGAAATATGCAAGAACAAAAAATTGTAGATTTTTTTCCACTTAATAAGGATACATTTATTAATATTTATTCTTCTTTTATAATTTTCGAGTTATAACGCAAACTTACATTTTTTTAAATGGTAATCATAGTTGACTGTGACATTTTTAAAAAGTGCTCTCTTTTCTGTTTACTAACTAATTGATATGAGGTTCATTGTACGTACTTTGACTAATAAACATGATACAGAACTGTTTGTATTATTAAGGGCCGGTTTTACAATTACACTTTTACGCAGAATAAGATATCCTTGGAATAACTGCCATGGCAACATGTATCTCATTGGTTGACAGAATTGTAACCAACGCAACCGTCGACATTTATTCTAGGTATAGCTTATTCTCGGTATATACCTGCATTGTAGAATTGGCCCTAAGGGTAGTAAAACAGATTTTGCCCCATGGGAACCCATTTTTGTTCTCTTAATTACTGTCTATTATAATATTTAACTTGAAGTTAGTTGTGCGGTGGGGCACCGTTGTGTTGAAACCAGCGTAAATTACGTCGTGTTTCCAAATCTAACCCATCCTGCATATCTTGAAATTCATTTGGTAGAAAATGAAGATAACATTGGCCTGTCCAATTTTCGTCGTAAATGAAAGGTACCTATCTCACTAGATATTGTTTTCCATGGCCAACTCTGTTTACTTACCTCTCAATAATACGAAAATTACTGCAGGGCGTTTATTTAAAAAAGTACATTTAGCAAGCCTTATNACGATTACCATTTAAAAAAAATGTAAGTTTGCGTTATAACTCGAAAATTATAAAAGAAGAATAAATATTAATAAATGTATCTTATTAAGCGGAAAAAAATCTACAATTTTTGTTCTTTGCATATTTCTGTATTTCTAATACTAACTATGCTACAACAGTTACATTTATTTACATGTATAGATACAAATTTAAACTTGTTAAAGGCACTGACCAACATACATATGACACCTGAGGCAAGCATGACCTTATAGAAAATAGAAGTATTCATTCATATTGCAAAAAATCGCCTTCTAATGCAGGAATGCGTTTTTTTAACAAACTCCCAGCAAGGGTCAAAAACTGCGAAACAGCTGTTAAATTTAAGAGAGAGCTAAAACTTGTTTTATTACAAAAGTGTTTCTATTCACTGGGAGAATTTGAAGCTTATATATCTGTACCTGTATCCTTTAACTTATTTGTCAATCCTGTACATGTTTGTTTTATACATACTATATGTCTTTTTTACTGACTTGATCAATGCCACATACTTTGGTCTATGATCTAATAAAGTTATTATTATTATTATTATTATGTTAAATGAAAAATCACTAAATCTGTTTTTCGCTCATATCTAGTGAACTGTGGATTTTTTTCAAAAAAACAAAAGCATATCTTAAATAAGCTCTTAAAACGACAACTCTTTCCTCATTTAACCGAATCCGTATGTCTTATGGTTTCGAGATCCCAATGCTTAAAATGAAAAAAACTCGCCCTGTATAACAAGGTGTAAAAAAGAAGTAAAAAGTCATGAATACCAAAACGTGACGTATTGTCAGTGTAGCTAATTTACAACGGCAAGGGGAATAAAGAAGGAAGAAGCAATTATTTAAACATAATTTAATAATAAAAAACAGAAAAAATACAAAAACAACTTTTGTAAAAAAATTATGTATGGAGTGTTATTTTTTATTTTTATTTTCTAACACCTCGCCCCTCCGTTTATTATTTACATTTACAGTAGTGGCTAAATTACCACCACCGCCAATTTCGACATCCTATTTAAAATTTATAATCCACCGATGGCAATCGTAATTAATTTTCAGGACGTGGCCTGGCGCGTCCTTCAACTTCCAATAACTTGTTAAGAACCGTAAAAAACAAAAAAGAACCAAAAAAAAGAATAATGGTTCCGGTTCTCAAGTTTCCAAGGAAAACGGTTTCGGTTCGGTTTTCGGTTCTGAAAAAAATATCGGTTGCCGTCTGGTTTTCGGTTCTTTTTTGATCCGGTCCGGGTTCCTGGTTGAGGTGCCAGAGCGATAAGCTATCGAATGCAAAAAGAACAAACTAAATATCTTGAAAACTGTAGGAGTAGTTAAGGCATCGGACGGACGGACGGGCGGAGAATGCTTTTGTGTAACAGTGTAACGGGAGCCCGCCAAATTATTTACATTAGATTTCGACAGGACTTCGGTAGAGCGTTGGGTTATAAATCCGGAGGTTCGAACCTGGGTTGAGGTGAATTTTTCATCTGTGGCGGAGATGGAAATTACCTTAGACCAGTTCCGAGCATTCTACAGGCTACACCGAATTAGGTTTTCCTGCAGTTTTCCTAATTCGTAAGGTAAATACCGGAGTAGTGTAGACCATCTTAAGACCTTCTGCAGAGGCACCTCTAAATAGCATTATGCGGGTCACTCTGTAATTGGGCGCATGCCTGTTGAGGGCCCAAAACAAGAGAGGGATAAAATAAAATAAAATAAACTTTCATATGTACCGCGAGTAACCGCGGGCTGTGCGATAATCACTATCTTGGCGCTGCTGGTCCGGATCAAGGAGAATATCAGTGAGAGCATACAATTACAAATAGTGTATGGGCCCTTGCACCAGAGGATAGATAAGAAAATCCCCCCACCTCCTTTGAAATCTTCGCCGAGCTCCAAGACGAATTACGGAAGTTCGAGGACTTCACACACTGCAGAATGCGCCAACCGGAAACTCGGGTGCACTTATTGCAGAAATCCCGGACACTCGCAGGGGGAATGCCGGAAGAACACTTACGAGACGTAAACTCCAAAGCCACCGCGCCCAGCAATTCGCGCACCATCACCGCATCAACGTTTCGATGACTTTAAGAGGACGCACCGTTCCTGATACGCGCCCCAATCTGCAGGGAGAAACCGTCCAGACGCCCCGAGACGAACCTCCGACTTTTGGGAAGGAGCTCGATTGCGCCCCCTCGGAAAGCGGTCACCATGCAGAACCTGACCCACGGACATCACCCCTGGCTTTACCGTCGCGATCAATCTTCCCTTAGCCCTGCCGCAATAGAATCCGCCAGGACGTCGCCGTCTTCATGGTGGAAGCCGAGGTCGTGACTCTACGACCAGACGTAAAAATCAACCTCATTCAAGGGCTCCCGTTACATTAGTTCAGCGCATGCGTCCAATGCTTACTGTGTTCTTTTATTTATTGGGACGGTTTGCTATTTCAATTGTAGGGGTATCGCTCCACAAACAATTGCGCATGCGCTCGCTCGGGAATTCTAAGGTACGTTGTTCTTGTATTTTTTGCGCGTTTTGGAAGGCGCTGTTTTGACCACAGTCTCCGTCCGTCCGGAGGCCTTAACTACACGTACAGTTTTCAAGATATTTAGTTCGTTCTTTTTGCGTTCCGTAGCTTATAGCTCTGGCACCGCAACCAAGAACAGACTTGACGATTAATGTGCGCATGCGCAGACTACGCACTGCTTATTTATAAGAAGATTTTTCATTTGTTCTTGTTTGCGATTAGGTCGGATGTGTTGTTGTTTTAGAACCGCTTCGAGGAGTACAGAAACATCACCGTAAAAAATAGACCTCAAGGATGTAATTTAAATAATCCATCAGAAATGAGTGCAAACGACCGCTGGACGCTCTACTTCCATTGGCTGCACCTGTACGAGAACTACCTCGTTCGGCAGCTGACTGTACTCGAAGGTGGCCGTAGAGAAGTCTATAAGCAATATATAGAACTGCAGCACCTTCAAGACGTCGAGGTCATGAGGCAAATGTTAGTCGTAGGAATGACGACGACCAGTGCGGCTCGTCTTCAAACGGTTCTTCAAAGTTTGCGCTCGCCAATTGTGATAGTCGAGGAGGCCGCCGAAGTTCTGGAAGCGCACATTATAGCGTCGTTAACCAATCACTGTCAGCATTTAATCTTAATAGGCGATCACCAACAGCTCAAACCGAGCACTGCAAATTATCGTATGGAGGTAAAGTACCAACTGGGCATCAGTCTTTTTGAACGAATGGTACGGAACAACATACAATGTCATACGCTCGGAGTGCAGCACCGTATGAGGCCGGAAATTGCCAAATTAATTGTTCCCGCCGTCTATCCAAAATTGGACAATCATCCTTCCGTTGAAAATTTTCCCAACGTTAAAGGAGTCGACTTCAACTTGTATTTTATTGACCACCATCACAAAGAGGAAGAGGTGCACGATAGTAAGGTGAACCGGCACGAAGTGAGCTATATAATTGCATTGGCAAGGCATTTAATTCTAAACGGATACAAGCCCGAAGACATAACCATCCTAGCCGCGTATTCCGCCCAAATGTTCGCATTGTGGGAAGAACGGAAACGTTTCACTCATTTACTGAAGGACGTCCGTATCGCCGTGCTGGATAATTATCAAGGAGAAGAGAGCAGAATTATCCTGTTGTCCCTTGTGAGAAACAACAACGAGGGAAATATAGGTTTTTTGAAAATCGATAATAGAGTATGCGTCGCCCTCTCCCGGGCGAAAGAGGGTCTCTACATCATGGGAAACATTAGCCTGCTCTGCCAAGCCAGCGAGGTACGCAAATAGTAGATCTTGGTCACTGGTAATGTGCCGCGGTTCGGTTTTTCGCCTTCGAATTTGACGGTCTGATTTGTTTAAAAAAGGGGATACTCAAATCTTCCTTTGGTGGGAGTAATTTCATACTCCCCCCTAATACTTCAAATTTATTTCCAAAAATGACCATGAAAGTCCGGAAATCTAAACGATTTGCGGAGAAGAGTCTTACTGGGGGGTTAGTCTAGGTGATAGAGACTGTAAAATTGGCATACCGGACATTTTGAAGTGGAAAAGAAAAAAATGGTGGAATATGTTCAGTTAGGTGTCGGAAACAACATATTAAAAATCCCACCCCCCAGACCCTGTGCTAAAGGCTCCAGCCACCCCACCATCCCCCAAAAACCATGTTTTCGCTCTTTTTGGCTGATATCTCGCGATCTATCAGGTCTATATGAAATATTTTTAGCTGAAAATATTTCTCGGGAAATTTTATACAAGGTAGATACTCAGAAGTTAGCCTAGGTGTACCTCTTAGCCTAGGAAATTCATAAAAGAGGCGAAAATCATCAATTTTCGTGGCTTTTTGCAAATATATCGCGACCTTTAGGGCTAGATGAAATATTTTTAGCTGAAAATGCTCCTCGTGAAATTTCTTACAAGGTAGATACTCAGAAGTTAGCCTAGGTGTGCCTCTTAGCCTAGGAAATTCATAAAAGAGGCGAAAATCATAAATTTTCGTGGCTTTTTGCAAATATATCGCGACCTTTAGGGCTAGATGAAATATTTTTAGCTGAAAATGCTCTTCGTGCAATTTCATACGAGATAGGTAACTGAAGAGTTGGCGTAAAGTCACCTTTCACTTTCAACTTTCATGTGTGAGGAAATATTCATTGTAAAACAAAGTATTTCTATGCACCATTTACTCACGTAAAAATGTTGTTTCTGACACCTAACTGAACATATTCCACCATTTTTTTCTTTTCCACCTCAAAATGTCCAGTTAGATGTCTTTATCGCCTAGATTAGGTCTGGGGATGTGGAATAGGTACCCCTCAGTAGGCGATACTTTAATTGCCATTTCTAGAAAAGCACCTTGAGAATCCTGGGGGTTATTCAATCCTCCTTTGCACCACCTTTAACATAATTTTCCAAAAATGCCCCCCCCCCCCTACATTCTGTGCAATTTAGAAGGATAAGATTATAATAGTCCCAAGAACAAAAAGTGGGGGGAGATTGTCACCGTTGAAAGGGGGGGGAATAGAATTTGCTTTTCCTGGGGAAGGGGGGACTATCGAATTAGAAGTTAATTTTGCAAGTAGGTGAACAGGAATTACGGCACATAGCTTGTAGTCATTTTTTTATTAAAAAAAAAACATTTCTTGAGCATTTTGTTTTAGATTTGGCCGAAGATCAAGACGGTTTTGGTCGATCAGAACTCTCTGGGACGATCATTGCGCCTTCGTTGTCAAATTCATACGAAGAATGTAACCGAAATAGAGAATTTGAAAGATTTTGAAAATGTATCCGAAGGGGGGTGTAACACAATGTGCGATAGCATAATGAATTGCGGCCATGTTTGCCCAAAGGTTTGCCACATCATCGACAGGCAGCACGAAAATATCTCCTGCAAAGCCAACTGCACCAGGATCTTGTGCGACAACGAGCACGTGTGTCCTAAAATGTGCTTTGAAGAATGTGGCCCATGCATGGTGCTAATGAAAAGGACACTAAAATGCTCTCACGTTATTAGCCTTACTTGTTCAACTGATTTGGATACGGTTAAGTGTATGCAACTGGTCACTGCAAAATTGCCATGTGGACATACTGACTCAAATAAGCGGTGCCATACACCTGTGGATGTTCACATTTGCCCTTTCCCATGTACGGTACGTGTGGAACCGTGCGGGCACGCATGTTCTTTAAGTTGTCACATTCGTGATGACCCGGACCATCTAATTGTACAGTATACCGACTCGGGAACCGCCCGTGCCATTAATTCTTCACTCTTTTAGTACGTGTGCAGGAAGAAATGCGAAAAACCGGCGAAAGGTTGCTCGACGGGCGATCATAAGTGCAAAAGAGATTGTTGCGAGGAATGTTCGTTATGCGAGGTGATAGTGGAAAAGAGAAGGACGACGTGCACTCACCGATTGCAGATTCCGTGCAATGAGGATCCTAACGAAATTGTGTGCAAAATGGCGTGCCGCCGACTGCTGCCCTGCGGCCATGCTTGCAAGAAGAAATGTTCAGAAACGTGCGGGGACTGTAGAGTTATGGTAAGAGAAAGCTTGTGGTTGTCGATATTAGTTGGCCCCTCCCCATGCTTGTGAATATTTTCATAACCCCCAGGTTCTACACTGACTTCACATTACACTAACCCTGCAACAGAATCGCTATTCCCTTCAAAAGCTTTTGTTAGTAGGATCCTACCCTTGAGACGGATTACTGTTGCGAGATATCCAAGCCTACAGTTGAAATCCAAAATCAATCAGAGCCTTGGATGTTGTAACTAGGTCGGTTACAGTATTTCCCATCCCTGTCACTGTCTTCACGGCGAAAAATGTCCATACAAACATCAAATTGAGCAAACATTTACACCAAAAATGATTATGGTTTCAAACAATTAAAAGTTAACCGCAATTTTCATTCACGTGATGCATCATTGAGGTTAAATCAAGTCAACTTCAAAAACAAATATTGAAAATGATAAAAAAATAAAATGTTGCATACAAAACATAAGTAAATCATAAAGAAATGCAGAGATTACTAACTGCATTAAATAACACAAAAAACAACAAATTTAAACTACTTACACGATGCTCTCTAGGTGCCACCACAAACCCAGGTGGCTGTAACGTAAGAAGAGTTTCTTATGGCAATAAATCCTTGACTGATAATGATTGAAAAAAATAAAATTCTGCATAACTTTGCTCGTTTAAGCGACTTTGAGGTGTATCCCCCAGAAAAAAGGAGATTCCGTTTGTACTTAATGGTATCCCATACATTCCAGTCCCTGGTTACTCTTATGTTAATATTCCATACACTATACGCTGTGTCCAAGAGAAGGATGTCTGTTAAGAATTTCTTAAAATATAGTAGGTTACAGGTGTTTTTTTACCCACCCGAAATATACGGAGAATCTGTTTTTAATGACTGAACACCTTTTCTATATTCAATGCAACGTTAATTTTTTGTTATCAATTAAATGCCGTAAACCTTTCATTTGTATCACGTTTGTTATTTGGCTAAGACGCCGCAAAGTTCTACAATATCGCGAATCATCATAGTGGGATTGTGGACCCCACAGCTTCAGTAAATTAGCACACATAATTTTGGTCCTTCGAACCTGATTTCCATAGGCGGGTGCCGTGTGTTAATCAAAATCGCGTATTGGGTGCATTAAGTGAAATTCTAGTTACAAGAAAGAATCTACAAGATCGAAAATTGAAAGTCGTCTACTTGGTCACATCCGTAACCGCCATTACCTCAAACCTTTCACAGCTAAAATTGTTATTTCATTTATGTAAGTTTCGCCCAACTTTAGAGATTACAATAGTGTGATTGGTAGAATTAGGGAAATGTTGCGCAATTAAACAGTAATTATCATGTTTTAAAGGAAACAAAAAATTCCAATTACTTTCGAAGATACCACAGAAAAACCGAAACTTGCCGATTTTTTAAATATTCTTTTCTTATTGGAGCAGATATAAAAAAAATAAAAAACACGTTCTGATTACCACTTTTTGAGCTCTACAAGATAACATTGAGAGATTTTTAATACAATATGTCGCTTCGGAGAAATCATCAACTTAGTTTTTATTTTTTTATTTTTTTCTATATATAAAAAATATGCTGTAAAGAAAGAACATACTATATTGAGTAGAATTTTTTTATTACGAATACAATTTTCCATTTTCCAGGTAAGTTATCCGATAGACATTTCTGCACAATTAAGCCATTGTGCGCGGGTGCACCATCTTGTTGAAACCAACAGTTTTCAACTTTTGTTTTTTTTGTGTGTGCCGTGCATCGTTGTATTCGTAATAAAAAAATGCTACTCAATACAGTGTGCTCTTTTTTTGTGGACCATATAAACAAATAAAGTTTTATGATGATTTTTCCGTTCCAATAACACCAGAAAAAAATACAAAGCAAATCTTTCGGATTTTAGTACAGTCAAATTAGATCAAATTTCCACGAATAGCGGAAGTAATTGAAAGAAAGCTGACAATTGGTATAGAGGTACATTAGGGCTTATATTCGAACATACTAAAAGTCGGGGCCAAAACTCCTAGAGCTCGAGCCGCCATCTTGGAAAAAAGGTACTCCAAATCACTTTTTCGCTGATATCTCGGTAATCGTGCATTCTAGCAAGTAAAGTTTCATATAAAAAAAGAAAGATAACAAAATTTTGTATAAAAAAGATGGTATGCACTTTTTTTGTATTTTCGATATTTACGTCGATATTCCACATTGAATATAGAGCATACTCGGTAGCATTACTTTCAGCGCTCGCGTGCTTTAAACATGAATATGTTTAAAAAATTGATTTAGTTGACATTTTAGGGCCTGTTGACCAGTGAAGAGAAGGGCAGTTTTCTACATAAATCGTACTCACTCAACAGATGTGTGTTTTGTATTTCTCGTTAATACAATCACTGTTTATGTATGGAATTCTTGGCTGGGGGTATTTTATGCTAGTGAATCCTTATACAGCCTTATACAGGGTGGTACCTAGCACGATGCAGCACAGGGATGTCAATGGTAAGTTCTTTATAGTCAATTACTAGCTCCCCTAATTATCGCATCTAAGTTATCGTTGTTTGACGTCCAACGATTTTTACTTACCACTAAATACACACGTTACTTGGCGGGCATTTATTTCCAGCATAAACAACTTTAACGTTAACATTTCTCGTCAGTTAAAAACATGATAAACAATTTTATGATTAACTAATTTATAAACAAGTATAAATTTAATAAACGTCAAAGGCAAATAATGAACATGATCGCTGATTTTTTAGGTAATTCCAAGGCATATCTGTTTTATTGAAAAATGAACGTTTTTATTTTGTTAATTTCTACGGTTTTGAAAAACGGAAAATTATAAGTAATCGTATGAACAGATGCAGTATTTTTTTCTCTAAAAAAACTTTTGCTCTAAAATAATTAGGGGACCTAGTAATTAACTATAAAGAAATGACCATTGACATCCCTGTGCCGCGTTGCGCTAGGCACCACCCTGTATAAGGATGTAATGAATTTACGCCAACTTTACTGTAACAAAATCCTCCAATTCAGAAAAACATCCAAAATTACTGCCCAAGATGCCCTCTCATTATACACGCCAGGAAGACCATAATATACTTTTGCAAGGTTTGAAAAAACAATCGGTAAACCATGTGCTCAGTACATTGCTCCAAGGCTTTATTCCATTCTACCGCGCGAAATGCAAAAGATATCTATACTGCATTCATTATAAGAAGGTAGTAGATGGCGCTGTGCTTGAAGATAAACACACACAGGAAAAATATAAAACGGCACCAAATTATTGTAAAGTAGAAATATTCAGCACTGCGAACAGAAATAAACCTTTGACAATAACAGCTAATGACACTTCGGCAGTTTAGTTGGCAACATAAACTACCACCTTACAAAATGCAACAGTCGTTTTATGTTTCATTGTAATACTGACTCGTGTTTTAACCAATCACAGTGAAGGTCAAAGCTTCCCTATGCTTTCTACCGCTACCTTCTTAAAATGAATACAGTATACGTATACCGCTTTCACGAAAAAAGTTCAGGTGTGGATACTGGAACAGCGCTATGTACTTACTATTTCGCGAATTGTTAATGGAATTGTTTAGTTTAGTTTATTATTTTTAGTATTTTTTTTATGAAATGAAGTCAAGTTTCATTTATATTTTTTTTGTAAATGCCCCATATCCATTACAAGTAGTTCAAACGACTTCGGATTTTGGCAATATTTATTTTTCTTAGTTTCCTTATGTAGGTATCTTTTGTATTCGGCTATACAGAGTCATTCTTGACGAACGTCAGTTAGAAAGATATGGAAAACCTTTGAAAATGAAAATAAACTGATAAGTTCTCTTGGCACATGATGAATTAAACTAAAATATTTTCAAGATGGCGCCACTTCCGGAAATACCGGAAGTAGCCATCAACTTTGTTACTTTAAATAGGGACCCCCTATTTTTTCTACATTTTCAGATTCTACGTCGAATTTGGAGTACAATGATACCCCCATAGTTGACCCTTTGTTCCAAGGGCTTCGTCGATATTCAAGTTTTTATGTCAAAAATTGAATATTCAGGGGTCATTTTAAAAATTTATTATTCGAAAACGGTGAGAGATTTTTTTTTTTATTTTGTTGGATTGGTACCCCTCGCTTTTCTGCCGTCAACGGTATCCGTCAAATCAAAACTAAACATAACCTGTAAAGTGTAAATAACGTACGAGGAACTTGACCGATTGTATTAATTCCGATTAATTTTGAATATATACTCCAAAGGGTAGAACTTTTTTTATTTTTACTTAGCGTAGTAAAATATGCCGCCAGTACATTCTTGCTTACTTTTTGAACTCCCTTCTCGGCCAGCCAGTTTTCAAAAATTTTGTACGCCTCGTACTTTACTCTCGATTTTACAGGCAGTAAATTTAACGTCGCTTCATTGGCAATCTCTTGGATCTCTGGTGGGGTACAAGAGACGTGTTTGTCATCCGTATTCATCATAACTGCCGCAAAATGGAATTATGACCAAATAATTAAAAGTTAGAAGTTTGAAAATACAGGAATCAGGTTAGCCAACGTGAAAATAAATGAACTGTGTCTATTACCAACATACACTGAATGATAGTTTAAAATTACCTAACAACGCCTAAATAATTTGTATAATTTATTATTTAAAATAAAGTCGAAATAGAAAAAATAGTATAAAGCACACGTGTCATTTGTCTACTTGTCGCACTCGGCGACAATCTTCGTCAAATGACACTTGTACTTTAATATACTACTTTATACAAAATTTTATTATCTTTCTTTTTTCATATAAAACTTTACTTGCTAGAATGCACGGTAACCGAGATATCAGCAAAAAAGTGATTTGGAGCACCTTTTTTCCAAGATGGCGGCTCGAGCCATTGGAGTTTTGGTCCCGACTTTTATTATGTTCGAATACAAGCCCTAATACCCTCTATACCAATTTTCAGCTTTCTTTCAATTATTTCCGCTATTTTTCCTAATTTGACTGGCCTATTTCTTTAAAGCATGATAATAACGCAAATCGTCGTATCTTCTTTGGTTTCCAAGATCGCCACTCGATCCGATCGACACTATAGTGTATAGTTTTAATCTCCGAATCAGCTGATCAAAACAGAGGCAAACTCTTGTACAATTTTTCTGGCTACCAGGAGAATATAATGGACGAAGAGGTGTTTTTCTATTACTACGAGAATTATTTCAATTAATTTAATACTGTATCTTTGTAAGATCGTCTCGTCGTCGAAATTTGCCTCACCATAGGACAGCTCGCCTTGACCTACTGCTGACTATAGGACGGCTCGCGACAGAAAGAATTTGCTGCCTTATAAAGCACTGTTTGACGGTGCGGATGATTTTCCCCACAGCGCCGTGTTGATTTTGCTGATAATTGTTGTGCGATGCGTATCCGCTACCATATGTACCCACCACACAGGAAAAATCTTTTTGAATTTCTTTACAGCGTGCCTTGGAACGATTTTGTTTTAGAATTTCTTTTTTAGGTCGCGAAAGAATTGAGCGTGTGCCATCATGAAGTGAAGGTGAAATGCAGCGAAACACCTAGCAGAGATCGCTGTACCGGACAGTGTCCGCTTACTTTAAACTGTGGTCACGTTTGCCAGGCCAAATGCAATGAACCGTGCACTAAACTGTGCGGGCACTTGGTCGAACACGATAAGATTGCGGACTGTGGTCACAAGTTTAAAATCGCATGTCATCTGAGAACTAAAGGTAAAGTTTAGTGTCAAATTCGAGTCTAACATACACGATACAAAACTGCTGTTAAAATCACTGTTTGTAGTTCTTCCCGGAAACTCGTATAAGCTGCTTCGATTCTGTGATAGTCCATGTAATGCGGTTTTGGAATGTGGTCATACATGCTCTGGAACTTGCGGCTCTTGTGCGCAGGGCCGTATCCATGCCACTTGCAATCAGAAGTGCGGACGTATTTTAGTTTGCGGACACGAATGTCCGTTTCCATGTCGTGAAGCATGCCAACCGTGCAACCTTAGGTGCACTTACAAGTGCGCGCACAGCATTTGTGGCAAGCAGTGCGGCGAACCCTGCACTAAATGCGCCGAAAGTTGCGAACGACGCTGCATACACTCAGACTGTGCAAACAGATGCGGTGACATATGTTCCGTGGCACCCTGTACAAATCCGTGCAAGAAAAAATTGAAATGTGGACACGACTGCGTCGGTTTCTGCGGGGATCCTTGTCCCCCACTGTGCCGGGTTTGCCACTACGACGATCTAACCGAGACGTTTTTCGGCACCGAAGACGAGGAGGGCGCAAGATTCGTTCTGCTCGACGAGTGTGGCCACATCGTAGAAAGTACCGGAATGGATCAGTGGATGACGGTGGACGATGGTAACGCCATAAAGTACAAGTGCTGCCCGAAGTGCAAAACCCCACTGACATCCACGCAGCGTTACAGCAGCTTCATAAAGCAAACCCTGCAGGACGTATACGCTGTGAAGCTGAAATTTTTTGGAAACGTCAAGGAAAATGAGGAGAAACGCGCCGAGTTACTCGGAAAAATGAATGATTTAGAAAAACTGACAAATGAAATGCCCGGTAAGTGCACTGAATTGTTTGAGGAGTCGCTCGCTTTGTTTTATGTGAAATAATTCAAATACTTCTAGAAGGAGAACGTTCTTACCTTTATATAGCAATCCTTACGCCATCTAGGCGATTATCTTCTAACCCATTTGTTAATTGTGAATAGTGTATTCTGTTCCCGTAGTAGATTTCTTCTTGCCTATCGTTCTTTATCTTCGTGTTTCTTTTATGATTTTCGATGTCGTGCGTTTTTCCCTCATTCCTGTCGGCGCGCGCAGTCCTTGTTGAAAACGCGAGGTTCGATTTTTACTTGTACAGAAGATACACGCAATTAAAGTTTCTTGACATTTTTTGTCTGCCATTTTTGGGATATACTGGCGCTGTGTTAAGTGAAGTTTCTCCCTTGTCATTTTACTTTCAATCTTCGCTGACGCATTTTTGCGGATTTATCAAATTTAAGGCCGTTTACGGCATGTTATCAAATACGAATTATCTTGTTACTTTGAATAACCGTTTTTTGCCTCGTCCTTACTTCTTACTTTTGATTTACTAATTGCTTCCTTGTTATCTACCCGATTGTGCTATCAATATCGATGTTTCTAAGTGGAAACGCTGATTGGATTTTCGCAATGTTGTCAAAAGTCAAAACCGCCATAGATATTTCTACTTTACCGATTGCAGAATTACCCGCCATTTCAAGCGAAATTAAACCACCGAATTCGACTGGTGACCCAATTATGATGATTGTTGACACCATATTTTTATTACTCCGATATTCATTTTTGTTAATTTACTGTATTTTATCTTTCATATTAACTACCTTTGCTTGTGATTTAGTTTTTAAAATTAACGAGACTTTGCCCGAAGTAAATTTCTACGATTTTTAGTTAACGTTATGTATTTTGCTCCGAAGTGAGTTGGTTTGCATTTGAATTGATGAGATTGCTTTGCTATTAAATAGCGATTTAGTTATTTGTGTATTTTATGGTATTTTTCTTAAAACTTAATCTCATTTTTTTTAAATATCTCATAATGATTGTAAGGACCGACCCTTAGTCAAACTAAATTTTTTTTGTCGTTAAGTCATTGGAATTCTTTTGAGTATTGATTGCAGTTCTACGTATAAGAATAACCCCTCGTGTCAGACGTTATACATTGCTTATGCGATAATTGGGCCACGCGAATCATTATCCCTCTTATTTTGTTTGTTTTGTGTGTCTGTCTGTTTACAGATTTGCAGTTTCGCGTCCTCTTGAGCTCAACAGGTTGCGACCGGAAGTTCAAAGGTAAATTTAGTTATTTTTGTCGTTTTTCCCTTTTAATGTTTGATTACATTTTGATTTTCGATACTAGCGAATTGTGATTATTACTTTGTTTGGAATTCACTCCATTGTTTCTGCGGAAGCGTATTTTGATAAATAACGGGTGTCCCAAAATTAACGCAAGATTTGAATTTGCCGCCATTTGTGCGGTGAAGTGTTGGCAACCCTGAAAAAAAAGCAATTTGACAGCTAACAGTATAGGGTTATTAAAAATGGAGCGTTACACGATAGAACAACGTGTCTTCATTATTAAAGAATATTTCAAAAATAGTGAAAGCTTGGCGGCTGCAGTTCGAAAATTTCATACAAAATATGGTCGGAATAGTGTTCACATTCGAACGGCTTGTTTTTGGACGACCAGTGTGTTTGGTGTCTCCAACGGATCCAGTCTCCATGAATTTTTCAATTAATCTCTTCACAGTTGACGAAGTTAAAACACTATTCCGACCATATTTTGTATGAAATTTTCGAACTGCAGCCGCCAAGCTTTCACTATTTTTGAAATATTCTTTAATACTGAAGACACGTTGTTCTATCGTGTAACGCTCCATTTTTAATAACCCTATACTGTTAGCTGTCAAATTGCTTTTTTTTCAGGGTTGCCAACACTTCACCGCACAAATGGCGGCAAATTCAAATCTTGCGTTAATTTTGGGACACCCTATACTTTCCCTGACTACGTGTTCATTCTCTTTTTATTCAGGAATACTGTAAATTCAAATAGTTACATAGCAGATCTATATATTACTGTGTCCTATTTTTGATATTTTGAGATCATTGCATTAAACCACCATTATTTGTGACATCAATTATTGTTTCTTTCTCTCGTTAACATTTATTGAAGACTAAGTGGCGTCTATCTGGACTACTTTTACTGTTTTCTTTTTTGTTGTTGCTTATTTGTGAACCCCACATATTCGCCTGGACGGACCTCTACTTTCTGAGCTTACCGTGTGCTTATCTATGGCAATTTTGTCGCGTTTGCCCAAAGTAAACGTAACAAAGCGAGCGACTCCTCGGAATGCTTCGTTTATAATCTTCTGACATTTTCAATTACGATAGCTTCCGCGCTCCTACTCCAGAAAATCGTTAAGAATCTAAAAAATTCGGTTCAAGTAGTACACAAAGGACGCAAGATCACCCTGAATTCCAGCCTTAGTAGGATATACCTATCGAAAATGCAAGTACTGGAAAACATCATCAAATCCTTCATAGCTGTTAAACTCGGTTCCGCAACTGTCATACATGTCGCCATAGAAGACATGGAGTTTTTGCTGAATTCCTTATCGCGCGAGGGGAACACGATGACCAATCAAGAAATATCCGACATACGCAAGGAAACTAACCGATTCTCTCACAAAGTGCAACTGCTCAAGATATCCGAAAGTGACGAGGTCTTCAAAGCGAAAATTTATGGAAACTCCTACAATAAGAAGCTATACGAAACGATCTACTACAAACTCGCTTCCATTTCCCCTTTTTCGGATGCCGCCGACGAGGAGATAGGGAAAAATATCGCCTATCTGAGCAAGGAGCTGGGAACGTACGTTTCGCAGATCGAACGACAGCAAGTGATTCAGGCGATGAAAATGGCCAAGGGGCACTGGTTTAAGTGTCCGAACGGCCACTATTACGCCATCGGCGAGTGCGGAGGCGCAATGCAGACGGGGAAGTGCATCGAATGCGGCGTCGCAATAGGCGGACACAGCCATACGTTGCTGTCGACGAATAGGCACGCCGGCGAAATCGATGGGTCCGCTCATGCCGCGTGGTCAGAGACTGCAAATAATTTGTTTAACTTTGAAGGGTTCCTCAATGGTTAGTTTTAGTGTTTTTTATTCACAATGTTTACGATTCGTTAATAGAATATTATGAAGTTTTTTTTAGCGAGTTGTTGACAACCCGCACCCCCACTTTACCCTTTTCTTTTCATAACATGTTTAAAACAAACGAACCTGATTTAAACATTTTTTTTCTACCCCTATACTTTAACTGATTAAATTAAACATTTGCTACAGTCATTTCGATACAGATTTTCATTAGGTTTACGACCAATAGAAATGCGTTGCCAATTGTGACGTACTTCAGCCTTCAGTAAACACCGCCCACCACACAGTTTTCATGTGCTATATGCATTTGGTAATAATTCTAATAGCAAAAAGAGTTAATTTTTGCATATTTGTGTTTGTTATTGTAATGATATTTTAAGCAACAATGGAGGTTTTATTTTTCCAATTTTCCGTGTATATGAAAAAAATTGAAAACTAATACGGTTGATTGACGTAAAAATTTTTTTTCTACAAAAAACCTTAATACATTTTTGCTCTAAAATAATTTGGGGAGCCAATAATCGCATATTATGAATTTTACATTGAAATCCCTATGATGCGTTACGCAAGTCGCCACCCTGTATATGCACATTAACGATTATTATTATTATCCGAGTGCGATGAAAGTTTGGGAGTAGTTTGACGTATGTCCGCAAAAGTTTCTGAGTTAGTAAAACACTGAAGTTCCCATAGGAACGGACACAGGAAAAAAACAGGTGGGATGTTCTGCGCTACAAGATAATGTGTTGCTTGTCGGAGTGAGGATCAAGTAAGGAATACAAATAAAACAAGTACATGCTTTAAAAACGGAGATTTAATCCAAATAATTTGCATTGCAAGATTAAATTTAGAAAATGGTAGTTCACCGAGTACAAATATAAAAATAGGCTGGGAAAAAAAGAACGGACCAAGAAAAAACCTAGTCAACAAATTAATATTGAACTTGATAGCAAAATTAGTTATCTGTAATGGCATGAATGCATGTTGTCAAGTACAGCAATACAATGTCGAATCCCAGGCTCCACTGGAATTCCTAAAGAATAAATATTACACACACATAACAAAAACAATCATTAAAACATTACAATAAATTCATATAATAGGTTTGGATATTGGATGGCCAGTCCAAATCCCACACCGAGTAGTCATTAGTTGCTCTGGTCATGACATGTCAACATTGTATGAAATCGCTAGGAGTTGGCCTCTCAGAAGAGCCTTTCACATAGGAAGGATATAGTTGTTTAACACAACCATAAGGTCACAACGAGAACACGCCACACGCTTTTAATGAATCCCTGCGCAAGTGAGGGCGGGCTTAGCCGCCAGCCCCATGTACGACTAGCGGGACCCCAACTCTTTCATTCATACATCTCTAGGGCCAGTCCAACCCACTAGTCTTAAAATGCCGGGTTATAAATTACCGAACTCCAGGCTCTCTACCATGAGTACTGACAATAACCGATCAAAAGACAAATCATGACATAACATAAATAACAGAGTAACCGACGGCAAACTCGCACGCATACCAAATTATAAACAAAATATACACAATTTATGTAGGCGTTGACAGTTGACATATTTGCACTGGCATAACAAAGACTGACACAAAACCAATATTCGGTCACTACGTGACAGGGATTGACTAAACGAATTGATTAGCAATATTGGCAAGTTGGCTCCCCTCGAAGACACAAAAAAAACAGTACATAAAATATATATCTCTGCGTATGTCAGTTCTGAACTTTAGCCAGCCTCTGCTACGTCAAATCGAGATATACTATCGGTATCAAATATAGCACAGTACATATTCGAAACAAGTCACCCCGGCAAATATTAATAATCATAATCACCCGGTTCAAATAAATAGTAGGAGCATAACTTTTAGTACTATCACATTACAACAATACAAAGGAACATGTCGTGGCAAACATTGGTATCAAGTAATTAATTCACAATGCCAAGTGCAATATCTAACAATCAACCACCTAACGTACGTCACTCGCCCCCAGATGAGGCACCCTGTAAATACACAGTAACATAAAAGTGCTGCAATAAATTAAAATGTAGTTCTGCATACTTGTATTGGGTATCGCCCCTAAGGGAACAGTATCTAAATATAAATAAAAACACGTAAATCGGTCAGTAATTCCCAGTAGGACCAGCAAACTGCAATTTGTATCTGGAATGTGTTATAAATGGCAATAATCAATGCTGTACGAGAATAAAGTTAAATTGGCAAATAATTTAACACGGTCATATCGTTATTAGAGGGATGCAATAGACGTAGAGATAAATAAAACGAGTACATCACCTTTGTAATTGTCGAAGCTGCACTCACTATTCGCAACGTAAAGATTTACTTCTGGTCTCAACAAAAGCACACATACTTCTGCCGCATTCTCCCCCTTTTTTTTAAACAAATCCTGGCCAAAATGAACGTGCTCCGAGACGGGTCGATACGCCATTAAGTTTCCTCGCATAGCTGGCATAACGTAGGTAATATTTGACACTTTTATTGTAAATTATGGCTCATTTCAATGTAGAGCAGAGAAGAAAAAAACACGTGTTCCACGGAAACGAAACAAATCGCAATCTTGACCTTTTTCGTCGCGCCAGGCTCGGATTCGGGAATATTTAAATCGAATTTTAGCGGGCTAATTCGACGGTTCCATCACAATATAGAAATTAATAAACACAGCGGTAGTCGG